GGGCGGGTGGGGGACGCCAGCACTGCTGGGGAGTGGGCATCCCGGGGCGGGATGGCAAGGTGTGGTGGAGGCACTCCAGCCTCAGACTTTGTGGGTGGGGTGCAGGAGCTCAGTGTGGCCTCCTGTTCCAGTTCTGCAGCTTCTATATGAGATGCCATTTCATGAGTATCTACCCAGTTTTTCCTAAAGTCAGACCCTCCTACAGGAATCCTCCTTTTCAAAGGCAAAAAAGGCCAGAACTTGTCTCTAGGCCTGGACCATCTGCTTTCAGGAAAACCAGCAGCATGGTTCTGTGTCCTGGCTTCTCCTGACCTGTTCTTTCATTGGTGACGTAGAGATTGGCCAGTGACCGCTGGGATCCTTTAAAAAATCAAAAGTCGAGGCAGACTCCTCTCCATACCCTCTGCTTGCCAGCCCCGCTGCAGCCTGTAGCCTGTGCCTGAGGGGCCATTCTGTAGTACCTTCCAGTCTTCTGATGGGATTGGCCACTAACGAGTTTTGATGCTAAGCTTTAAAATCTCAGAGAATTTTTTAAAACTATAGTTTATCAAAGCAAACAGCTCCTGACGGCTTAACTGAAAGTGTGTGGTGTGAAAAACTCCTGCTTGGTCCAGTCAGGCTAACGTATCCAGATGTGTTTAATCTGTTGTGATGAACGTGGAGGCCAGACGTCCTCCCCTCGCCGTCCCTGGGACCCTCTCTCGCTGTCATTACCTCCGTGCTTTGGCAGCTTTGAACCCGTTCCAAACTGGCTAGAAACCTGTTGTTTTCTGACAACGGATGTGGTGTCAGATGTGAACGTGCGTGTTAACCTCTGGCTGCTGTGTTCACGGAGGGTCCCTGCCGATGGGGGTTAGAAACAGCATCCTGGAATACCTGTCTTCTTCGTAGCGTGTGCGTTTGACTGAGCCTGTGTGTCGACAAATTCGGGGAAAAGAAGAATTACTGCACATCATTTGTTCCTTTTCCTTGGCGTGCGTCCAGTGTTCTTCGTTTGCAGAGGAGTATGTTTTGCCTGAGAGATGTTTAGAATAGAGCTGTCCCATAAAGTCCCCCTAATTATTGGCAGAAGGGAAATGCAGTAAAAATAGTTCATTTATTTCTCTACTGTCAAAGAAATCAGTTTCCAGTTCTGTCAGTCCAGCCTCTGAAAGGGCTACATTTTCCATGCCTGCTCTCACTCTCCAGAGGCTCAGTACTCTGCACTTCCTGCCCCCTTTTCACAGTAAATATAAAACGTGTGGTTTTGGCCGGTTCAGATGCACAGCTGGCCGTTCAGACTGGACCACATCCTCCCTGAAGGCGTGGGATCGAGCAGGGGTTTCCCAGGATTCCTGAGAATAGTGGCAGGGGACCACGGCTGGAGGGCGGGGTGGTGGCCTGGCCTCTTGCCTCTGGGAGCGTCTGTCCACCTGTAGGTGCATCCCACACGTGGCCTCCTCTTGCACCCTGGCCTTTTTTCTGAGGACCTTTCTGAGTCTGACGCGTCCTGGGCTCGGAAACCGTTACCCCAGGCTGTGTTCCTGGAATAATTTCCCATTCCCGATGAGGGAAGCTCTGGAGTGTGAGAGAGCGCGCTCCTGAAACTCAGAGCGTTTCAAGTCACCTGTCACGGGGTTTCCCAGCCGAGAAGGGGGCTGAAGGGCCCCGATGTCCAGCTCCAGGCCCAGCATTCTCCCTGCAGCCTGGGAGCTCCGGGTGCCGAGGGACGTTCTGGGAGCCGGGGCGTGGTGGCTGCAGTGCTTTCAGAGCTGACACACGTGCCCCAGGTCCCGGCGTACCAGGGCTGGGCCATCCCGAGCAAGGGACACCCGCCTTCGTGCAGCCTTTTCAGTGAAACACATGGCAGCCTTGGGTCCTCCCCATGTCCCCCTGGCTGGGCGTGTCCGTGGAGCGCCCTGCTTGGTGGCCAACGTGACCTGTGCTTGGTCACACGATCACACGCGTAATCGCGCGTGTGAGGCTTTGGCAGCGTGTGCAGGCACATACACACGACTTCTCTCCAAGCCGGCACCGCCCCAGAGGCTGGCGGCGGTGGAGGGAGGCTCCCTGCCGCCTGGAGCATCACCTTTGCGCAGAGCAGCTGAGCATCCTCTCTGGGGAGCCCGGAATTGGGGGTGGGGCAGTGGGAGAGGCCACGAGGCCGTCCACGCCTCTGTAGGACCAGCGCCTGCACGTGCTCACGAGGTGCAGGCGGCTCAGTTTTGGTTTTGTTCCTGCCACGTTGGCTGACGCCATGCTTTTAACCATTAATGAAGCAAGCTTGTAGTTCGATGCTAAAAAAAAAGGGGAGAAATTCCTAATTTGATACAATATGAGAAGGTGTGCAGTGTACTCACGGCCCAGTTAATGACCCCCTGGGGTTACAGTGGGAGTCAGGCGCTTGCATCAGACCAGCACTGCCGCGCTCGGTGCTCCAGGGCAGGCGGGAGAGCCCTGCTTGGCGCCTGGCCCCGTGTGGGGACCGCCACGCCACGCGCACGTTCTCTAGATGTGCCCAGAGTCCTTAGTGGGCCGTGTGGTGATCTCGGTTTGGGCCGTGTGGTGATCCTCAGCCTGTTGCCGGGGAACCTCGGTGCTGTTTGCACGGCAGCTGAGCCCTCACCCTCTGGGGCACAGGTGTGGATGGGATGCAGCCTGACGTGTCCCAGCCCCGCATGTGCCCTTTTGATCTGTACACGCTTCCTCTTGCCTCGCTTGGCAGGAGTGGGAGCTGAAGAACGGGACATAGAGCTCGCGGATGCCCAGCTCGCACAGCGTCGTCCCATCACGTGGCCGCAGGGAGCTGGCCCGGGCGCTCCAGCAGCAGGACTCGGGGTTTGCGGCCGGACCAGGACCCAGGACCTGGGTGCCAGGACCCGGGCCTGCCCGCTGTATCCTCTCTACTGTATAATGGTTCCCTTTAAAGAGATTTACTTGTAACACTTTGGCTTCCAACTTCATTTGTTTAAAGTCAGAAAAGGGCCGGAAGGTATTGTGAGAGCCTCCCCTGGCGGATGGAGAAACTGCATCTTCCCACCCAGGTAACGATTGCTTTCACCAGTCTCAGCACTCCCAGCCCAGACTGAAGACGAACGGCCAGCAGGCCCTGGACGTGCTCCATGCCCCCGGCGGGGGCGTGAGTGTGAGGCGTGGGCCTCGGGCTGCCCGCGCCTCGGCCAGGAGGATCCAGGGATGTCGCTGCAGCGTGAACAGCAGGAACTCGCACCCCGGGTCTCCGCCCCCCTCTCCCCACACGCCCGGCCCCCTCGTCACTAGGGGTAATGGCGCGGCAGAATTGTGCTGTGAAGCGTTTTTTACCTTTTTTTAAAAAATTTTCTGGACAGTTGCTTCTGTCGCCAGGATATGAAAAGCTGCCACGCTTCTTCAAACTTTAAAAACTTTTCTCTTTTTCTCCTGTGCCACGCTTACAGCTGCAAGGGTTTTTCAGAGGTTCTGTGTCATATTGTGTTATTTGTGCGGCTTTTGAAAGGCAGCAGTGTTTTCGATATTTCACGCCTATGTGTCCTTCCCGGCTTTTCCCAGCGTCCAAACCCCTTCTACCCCTTCAGAGCAAGCGGGTGGCCCTCAGACACCTGGTTGGCCTCGGGGTGATGGTGACACGCATTCCCGAGGGGCGCGTACGCCCTTTGAAAGGCAGCAGGTTCTGGGAACTGCACAGCTTTAGGGCAGAAGAAGGACCCCCGAGAGCTCCTCTCCCACCCCCGCCCCTGTGACCCACCAGGGGACTTGGTTTACTGCTTCCCTCAGGGCGCGGCCGCCAGGTAGGGCCTCTCTGAGTTTCCCCGTTTGCCTCCAGAGGGACGTTTCTCGAAGCCTTCAGACACTAAGGCGTGAAGGGGACAGGCCAGCTCCCAGGTAGAGGTGATGTGGGTCCGAGAACCAGGCCGGCTCTCCTCCGTCTGCAGAGGGACCTCTCAGGAATTCTCCTTGTGCGGTCACTGCCCGGAAAATCTATCTGTCGCCCCGGAGCCCTCGGCAGACTGACCGATGGGACCAAATCACACGCGGGATGGGCTCCTTCTGCCTGCAGTTGGTGGAGGCCTGCCATCCTCTGCTTCTCATCAGATACAGGAGCAGGAAGCAAGAAAACCGTGCGCCTGCGAGCACATCCCGGGGCGCCCACGGCCTCCGGGCCTTGCCAGTCAGGGTTGGAGTGGCCCTCGAGGCCAGCACGGGCCCGTTTGGTTTCACTGACCAGAGCCAGGGTGCGGTCTCAGCGGCTAAGAAAGTTCTGCAGCAGGACATGCAGGCTGGTTAGCTGGAGTCCACCTGAAACCTGGATTTGTTGCGAAGCCGTCTGCCAGGTCCGTGGGCTGCCTGCTGGCGGCCTCACCTGCACGTAGCACGTTGGGCCCCCCAACCCTGACCCCGGGAAATCCAAGTAGGAAGCGGGGAGCGAGGGGCCTCCCCAAGCCTCAGGCCCACCTTCCCGGCCCTGCTGGGGAGGAGGAGCCCCTCTCCCCGTGTTCTCCCATCAGCGTAGGAAGCTGGCATCGTAGGAAGCTAACTTTCTGTAAAGGGGAAAAGTGGGGTCTTGGCTGCCTTCCGGTCGAATGAATGTTCCCCAGATAAGGCTCTCAGGCTATCCTGGTTGGCAGCCAGCTTGGCCCACGACAGCAGCCAGATTTGATGGTTGCTCAGGAGGGAAGACGTGACCTTAGCCCGGGAGCAGGTGGGCACAGGTGGGCGGGCCGTTAGCAGAGGTCACTGCAAATGTCACCTCGACCATCGCTGTGGGTCACGCCCAAGGACACAGCCAACTGGTCCCAGAGCCGGGATTTGCACCCTGGCCTTAAGGCTCCTGGTGTACATATTCTGTGTTTAAAAACGCCAGGTTTTTAAATTCACTTTCACAACCAAAAGCCTGTTAAAGAGGGTGGTGGATTCAGTCCCGTTACGTCCCCCGGAGCCATTTAAAGCGGCCCCGCGGAAGCCGAGGCCGCCAGCGCCGGGCTCCTTTGATGCCCTTGAGGTGTCCCCTCGATGTCTTTAGATTTGATCAGAAAGTTAGTTTAAAGCGTTTTGAAGCGTTTGCTTCAAAATAAGTTATTTATTTGTATATGTTCGATAAATATAGTTTTTAATTTATATCTGTACATATTAGACACACCGTGGACATCCTGCCAGCACCCTGGCAGTGACCTCATCGCCCCCCCTTATCTCAGGGCAGCCGGGAGACAGCGGTGACAGAGGCAGGCTGCGGGGGTGGCCCGGCCTTGGCCCTCGCTCCGGGGTGCAGGTCACCATCCCCTCGGAGAAGTGGATTCTTGAGAAATGTCCCCATTCCTCTGACAGACAGTCATGGTCACAGAGTGCTGGCCAAACTGTAACAGGATCCTAACTGAAATGAGACACGTGTGGTGGCCAGACCGGGGGCTGGCGTGAGACCGCCACCCTCTGCGGGCCACGGGGCCCTTCCCTTAGGACAGAGGCCATCGTCAGCCTCAGGCGTCTGCTTCTGGCTTTGGTGAGGGGTCATCAACTTCAAAGTCCTCTCCATTTTTATATTTTTATAATGTTTTTCATTCACTCACGAGCCTTTTGCACAGAGATACATTGATGGTGAGAGGGCGCGCTGGGTCACCCCTGACGTGGGCTCAGGTGCAGGTGACCACCCCCTGCCCAGAGGCCGCAGACGGTCGGCCAGGGCCGGGGAGCCAGCAGCCCTCCCGCCCGGCCCCGGGACAGTCCTCTGTGGGGACCCAGTGGGTCTGGGGATGCTCCCAGCTTCTGGGGCTCTGCACAACGGTCTCCCCGGGGCTCTTCTCTTGGCCGCATGTGTAGAACTAGTCGTGGCCCCTCAGTTCAGACACCTTGGGGTTGTCCAGCTTGACCGTCCGCCTTATTCATCTTGCTGGTCCCTGAGTCATTTTGGGTTCCTTCTGAAAACCCAAGATGACTCTGATAGGTTGGAATGTGCCACCTTTGAAAAGTGTCTCAAAAACTGTGTGTCCTGGGCCCTGAAGACCGCCCCCAGGGAGGAGTTTCAGATTCCTGTTAATCGTGGCAACAGTTTGGAATCTGTGTACAGGTTTCCAAGGGGACAGCTTTGCAGCTGGGGTAGGCCCGATGGTCGTGGGCAGAACTCCGTGGTTGGCGGCCCCATTTATTCTTTCCAGAAGAGTAACTCTATCAGCACGTAAATTTTGCCTACGGACCTACTTCAGCAGGCAGCGTTCTCTGGTTATTCACCACGTCCTGCGACAGGAACCTTCCCGGGCTGGGCACGGGGGTGGGCGCTCGGGCAGGACCTCTCCCACCAGAGCAATCAGGCGTCTGCGGCGGCTGCATCCCAGCCCGGCCCCCGCACAGCCCAGGGGATGCCTTTTCCAGGAGCAGGGGGCCTGCCCGTCTCCACCGCGGCTCACGTGAAGGTCACGGCAACACCTCAGTGTTAAACTATGGCCTTCCTCTTTTCTTTCTAAATTAAGTTCCTTAAGTAATTTCAGACTGTGGCATAGTTTTAAAGAGGGTAATTTTATTGTTCTTGTTGTCATTACTGTCTTCTTATCCCCACGATGGGCTGGGTTGATACTATGAAATAAACTAAAAATAAATAAACTAACATTTTTATGCCCCCCCCACGCACACGGTGCAGCATCACAGAAAGCCCCTCAGTGACCCCCGAGCCACAGCGGGATAGCGTGTCATTCGTGAAGGTGAGGGAGCTTCACGCCCAGGGAATTGGTGGCCTCACATGCACCCTCTTGCCCATCTTTTGTGAAATAATTCACTTACGTCCTTCCAGAAAAGCCCAGCTTGACAGCATACAAGTATTACCAGGTATTTCTGTTAGTTGCCACGGAAAACATTTTCGAGATGGGATCATCAGATCATAATTCTTAGGGACCAAAGGTGTTTTTAATAAGATAATCTTTGTATTTGATTTTTTAAACGAGAAAGGAAATACTAACTTTAAACTTTAGCATCAGCTTTTAAATTATAGAGATTCAGCATTAATTGACCATGGCTATAAGTTGTAAAATGTTTGTTTTCATATTAAGAATGTAATTATTTCCTTATTGTATTTTTTAAAAACTAAAGTCATATTTAAAATTCTCTTTGAAAGAAGCAGGCAAGAAACAGGAAAGATTTTTTTAATTAAATATGTTGGCAGTGTCCATTTTAAATAACTGTAAATATATTTTCACTGTGTTTCGCAATGTATTTAATTCATAAAGTAAAAAGTTTTATCAGAAGAAACTTGCATTGAAAATACGCGTTTTCAGTCCATTTGCCCGGATTTTGTAGTAGCCTTACTTGAACTTTCTGCTTTACTAATGGAACTTTCTACAGTTCTACACGGTGTAGCCCGCAGACTGGCGCCCTCGGGCGTGCCTCATTTGTGTATTCTTAATAAACTCGCTGTTCCAACTCGGCCTCTGCCTCTTGACCAGCTCGGTTTGTGGGCAGACGGAAGGACTTTCGGATGAACGGAGGCATTTTGCTGACAAGGCATTTTGCTTGCCAAGTAGGGAGGGATGTAAGAGGGATCAAGGTGGGGCAAGTGTTTTATTTCTTTGACAAGAACCTTCTTTCATGAAAGAAACGTGTATTTCATTTTATTTATGTATTTAATTTTTGGCTGCACTGTGCAGCACGCGGGATCTTAGTTCCCCGACCAGGGATGGAGTTCGTGCCCCTGCCTTGGGAGCACAGAGTCTGAACCACTGGACCGCCAGGGAAGTCCCA